ACTAAAAGGATTCATCCAGTCCTCTTGTTCAGATGGCTCAGGGTCGTGTTTCTTTTGCTTACCCTGTGTTTTTGGGCTCTATAGTATTTCTGTATTTACGTAACAATAGTGTTGCACTGTAATCTATCATATGGATCGATACATATGCAAAATTTTATGCAAAATTTTGGTCAGGTTTTTAAAGAAATGTATCCCATTTGCAAAGGCACAGTAAAGTTGTATCTTATAGACTATAGGCAATAAAGCTAACAATAAACCTTATTTAACACACAAGAACACACAATCACACATCAATATGCCTTTGAGACACAATTAGGGCTGCCTGTTCTGGGCCCCAACACTTCTGAGGAAATAGAAAAAATGAGAGATGAGAGCTACTGTTTCAAGCAAGTGTCATGGTAGTTATATTTTGCTTTGGTTTTTTAATTATTGGAATATAATTGCTTTACAATGTTGTGTTAGTTTCCACTGTACAACAATATCAATTAGCCATATGGGTTCATAAGCACCATTTTTCTAGATGCTGTATAAATGCGTTAATATATGATATCTGTTTTTCTAACTTACTTCACTCTGTGTGACAGGCTCTAGGTCATCCCCATCACTACAACTGATGCAGTGTCACTGCTTTTCATGGCTGAGTAATATTCCATTGTATATGTGCAGCACGAAATTTTTATTCATTCATCTGTCATCAGACATAGGTTGTTTCCACGTCCTGGCTATTTTAAATAGTACTGCAGTGAGCGTTTGGGTACAGGTGTCTTTTTGAGTTATGGTTTTTGAGTGGCTTATTTCCAATAGCCCGGGTAGAGTACAGTTAGGATCAATATACCTCACAGGTTCCTAGATACTTAATTCAGAGAAAAATATCCTACAGATCTTCTACCACAGGAACTTCACAAGTACAGGTTCCTGAAATAGTAAAGCTTGAAACTTTCAGTGAGGAAGAAGGCAAGCAGAACCTCAGACTCAATTATCAATCAGATTGGGAAATATTAATATTTAGGGAGGCAATAGAAGAAAAGAATCTCATACTTTACTTCTCAGTCCTCAGGGAGGCCTTGAGCTGGCCTTGAGCAGCCTTGAGCTGCTCTCTGTGACCCGTGCCCTCCAGTTGACCTGTGACCCTGAGCTTGAGCTCTTCATTCCAGGGCCCCTCAGATGACGCCTTTCACGGTCACCATTTCCCCTGCTGTGGGTGCCCGTGTCTGTTCCTGCTTCCCCGAGTCTTCAAGTTCCTGATTCAAGAATAAGAGGTATGCATTCACTAAAGGTTCTACACACAGCTTCACATTGTTCCCGTGGTGTCATGTTCATCAGCACGGACGCCCAGTCAAGTCTTCCTGCTCACAGACCATCATACCTGGTTCGTCCTGAGAGCAGCGTCTGGAGAAAGGAAGGTTACGACCCTGAGAACAAGCAGGAAGAGACTTGTTATCCCAGCGATGCCTTTCTCAAGACTCGACCAAGGCAACAGGGTCATGGAGCCCAGAAGTGGCCCAGAAGTGGCTAGACATAACAGGCTGTGAAAGTGGGGTAAAGTTAGTTGTCTGCTTGTTTTCACTAAACTTGACACTGTTCTTCCCTCAAGGAAAAATGTTTTCCTTACTCTGAGCAGCCCAACCAGAAATTAGGCATTCTGGATCCTATCCGACCGGAAATGGAATCCTCTCTGTGATGTCTAACAAGCTATGGTTTGGCCATGGGTTGTACATGGATGCCTTCCCTGGAACCATTAATGGTACCACCTCAGCCTGGAGAAGGCTACCTCAAAGACAGCGATGAAAGCAAAAGTGAAAGTCACTCAGTCGTGTCTGACTCTTTGCAATCCCATGCGCTATGCAGTCCATGGAATTCTCCAGGCCAGAATACTGGAGTGGGTAGCCTTTCCCTTCTCCAGGGGATCTTCCCAACCCAGGGATTGAACCCAGGTCTCCCGCATTGCAGGAGGATTCTTTACCAGCTGAGCCACCCGGAAAGCCCAAAGACAGAGATGACCCCTGTAAAATCAGGGCACGGCCCAGGGAACTTGCAAGTAGCTTGGAAGTGCTTCTTTGTGTGGAGAAACGGAGGACACTCCTCCGGCATGTTCAGGAGGAGGGGTGGCCTACTTGCCAGGAATGCGTCACATGCAGCCAACAACCTCAGGTATCAAACAAATGATAGAGTGGAGTAGAGAGCGATGTGTGCACGCTAAGTCACTTCTTTGTGACCCTACGGACTGCAGCCCTTACGTCTCCTCTGTCCATGGGATTCTCCCCGCCAAGAACCCCGGAGTGCGCTGCCGCCATGTCCTCCTCCGGGGGATCTTCCCGCCCCAGGGATCGAACCATGGCTCTTGCGTCTGCTGCACGGACAGGAGGGGTTCCTAGCCACTAGCCCGCCTGGAAGCCCAAGGGGGTGAAATGAGAGCGCCAGAAAGCTCGGGAACCTGGCCTGGGTAGACACCCAGAGAGGAGACCGTGGCTCAGCAGCACCTCAGCCTTCGGTGGCGCCGCCCCCACGCCAGTCCAGGGCCCTCTGTCTGTCCTCTGTCCAGATCGCGAGCCTGGAGCAGCTGGAGATTCCAAGACAGCTCTGGGGCCAGCAGACTGCTCCTGGGAGAAGGAGCCACAGGAATGCCTCCCTGACTGCGCCCCTGGCTTGCTAACAGATTGGCTCAGAGCAGCGGTCCCCAAACCTTTTACCACCCGGGACCGGTTTCATGGAAGACAACGTTTCCATGAATGGAGGGCAGATGGTTTTGGAATGATTCAATCATGTTGCATTTATTGTACACTGTGTTTTTATTATTGCTACATCAGCTCCACCTCAGATCATCCCAGGCATTAGATCAGGGACGTTGGGGGACCCCTGCTTACAGGACCACCCTCACACAAGCCCCAGACAAGTCCCAGGGACAACTTCTGATTTGGGTCTGGGAACAGTTCAGGGGAATGAAGAAAATGAATGAAAGCTGTTCTTCCCGTGGAATTGTTCTTTCTCTTTGCTGAATAAATGAATGGAAAGCCTAGAGCTAATATCCACCCAAGTTCAAGGAATAAATTATGCTGAAGTACTTTATAAGTCCTTATTGTGACATGTTAATTTGTATTTATTCTTATATTTTTCACATGAAGTCATCTATAAATCAATCTTTCCATGCCCTACATTGATTTTATTTTACACACTTGGAACTACATTAAACTGTCTTTCTAGAGCAACTTGTCCATAAGTCAGATGCTACTCTGTCACGGTGTAACAGAATTTTATTGCAAAGACTGACAGTTCAGAGAGGCACTGGTTATTTTTGGATCAAACCCCCAGCACACTAACCAGAATGTTCCTGGATTGATAAGTACAAGATTTACTGAAAAGTGGGCCATTGCTTCCCTTTCTTACCAGCAATTTCAGATGAGTCCCACTCCCCACTGTTCTGTGTTCCGACCAAAAATAATAATAATAATTATATATATATATATATATATATATATATATATAACCTGCAAACATCTCTGGGTGAGACGCCTCAGTGTTTCAGGATTAGAGAATTATTGAAAATAAGGATTGAGTTCATTAAACATTTCCTCCAGTGTGTAAGGTCTGCTGTCAATCTGCCCTAAAGCAAAAAAGCAGTATTTGTGGTTATATAGAATGTAAATACTAACACCCTCACCATAGACACACGTCTGAAGGGGTTGGAGCTGAGCTGGGGTTATTGGTTGGATTGCCAGGGCAAGATTGCAACTCATCCCTCTGATTACATTTAAAAATCCCCCCTCGGAAAACAACGAGACTTCATGCCCCCGTGAATTGACATCATTGCATTCTACATTCTGTTCCCTAGAGTCACTTCTTTTCTAGGGTTTCTTGGTAAGAAAATCTATACTTCCTTATAGAGTTCCACGTTTTACTAAATGAATGTGTTTTCTTTGACGAAATACCTATGTCGTTTTCTAGACGGACAACAGAGTAAACATTCTGCAGCCTTCTTGCTGGTCCTTATTCTTTTATTCTGGCCATCTTTTCAAAATAAATGTCAAAAGTTGAAAACCACAGAGGCAGTATTTTCCTTACCGCTGAGGGGCATGACTTTTTCCTTTATAGCTGGCAATGGTACGTTTTTGTGTAAGATTCTGCAAAACATTCACAAAAATTCCAGGTCCAGAGGCTTCTGCTCCTCTTCCCTGTAAAACGAAATGGGCTCAACTAGCATACACTTCAAGAGCTTTTTCAAATCTTTGAGTCTAAAGGTGATCTTTGGGAAGATAAAGAGTTACTCTCTCTTCCAATCCATCATGCATTTTTTGTGAATTGAACCCAAGATGGATAAAAATTCTTCAAAAGAGTTTGATTCCACAACCTTATTAAGAAAACCTCAACAAATATCTTATCAAGGGCATTGCCCTGCTTTTGAGCCAAGGTTTTCTAGGCCTGGTTTCAGGCTACATGTCTTTTTGTTAGGTCATCCGAGAGGGAGGCAGGAAACCAATGATTCAGTTTAGAACTTTCTCACAGAAATGAAAACGTTGAAATTCAAAAAAAATGAAGTGAATTTCTCAAGTCCACACAGCTAGGTAACAGCAAGGTTGGGCCTCGTAACTCCACATCTACCTGATTGTTTTTTCTCAGTATCTGTTTATTTACTTGGTTCCATCAGGTCTGAGCTGTGGCACACAGAATCGTCATTACAGTGCGTGGACTTTTCTAGTCTGGTGTGTGAACTTGTCAGTTGCAATGAGAAGGTTTAGCTGTTTTGGCCTTGGCTGCTCCTCGGCATGCGGAATATTAGTTCACGGGCCGGGGCTTGAACCCACGTCCCCTGCCTTGGAAGGCAGGTTCTTAACCACTGGACCATCAGGTCTCTGCTTGACTCTTAATGAATTATGTGCTGAATCCCTGTCTGGTCGGCACTGTGCCTAGTGGTAGGGATCCTGGGTATTTAGGAGAAAAGATCCTGCCCTGAACCAGGGTTTGGGTGAAGCGACGTCGTAACAACAAAACGCTGGGCAGTTGCCATGGAGCATCAGTGCCTTACAAGCCTACTGCGACCAGTGAGCCCACGGGTCAGCGTTGTGCCCGACGGGGGCACCTCGGGCGGCCTCTCAGAGGGGCGACATGAGCCGAGTCCTGAAGAAGGAATAGGATGTAAGGAGCTGAAGACAAGGACTCCCGGCAGAGGAGACTCAAGCCCGAGGGGCCCTGCCAGCCCAGCAGAGGAAAGCCATGCCAGCGGGGCCACAGGGGGCCACCGTGCACACCACGGTGGGATGGCAGGCTCCGGCCTGAGAGACAGACCCAGCTCAGACCACGGGCCGCCCTGCTCGTCAGATGTGCTGACACACTCCTCAGCTCTGGCACCCACACCTGCCACCGCTCTGCTCACACCTGTGGCTCCTGCCAGGGGGTTGGCGGTGATGGTCAAACTCCAGAGAAACTCAGGATAGATTTTCTAGGCTTGTGTGATGATTAGATGAAAGAAATGAGGAACAGAAGGGTGCAATCAAGGACATCATCAGAGCAGATACAGGAAAGTAAGCTACCTTTCTTTCCCCACCAACTTTCACTTTTTCTGTTGAAGTGCGTGAGAAACTCCCCCAGGGGGGAGGACGATGGAGCAGGCTAGAGTAAATAATCGGGGGCTGCTTGGGAGAGCGGAGTGAACAGGCAGAGACCTTGAAGAGCCTCATTAACATGGGAGAGATGGCTATAACCCCTGATGCACTGTTGCAGGGTAAGTTGCTTGGATTTATCCAAGTTATGTGCAACGGGAGGACAGACAAATAGGCAAGGCCAGTGTTTCTGCCAACGTACCATGCACTAGCCAACCCCTGTCCTAGATCCTGAAGGTAACAATTCCTATCTTAGCTATTCCTAGGGTGGTGGGAAAGTTAAGAGTGTCATTGGGAAGTATTTTTGTTTGCTTATTTATATGCTTGTCTGTTGCCTTAATAAGATGACAGACACCATCAGGTCCTCCATGCTTACTTTTTTTTAACATTTTAATTTATTTATTTTTGATTGAAGGATAATTGCTTTACAATATTGTGTTGGTTTCTGCCACACATCAACATCAATCAGCTATAGGTATACATATGTCTCCTCTCTCCTTTGAACTTCCCTCCCACCTTCCTCCCATTCCATCCCTCTAAGTGGTCACTGAGCTCCAGGAATATTTTCATTTTTTTTAATTGGAGGATAGTTACCTTACAATATTGTGTTAGTTTCTGCTGTACAGTGTGAATCAGCTATGTGCTCAGTCGCTTCAGTTGTGTCCGACTCTTTTGCAAACCCGTGGACCATAGCCTGCCAGGCTCCCCTGTCCATGGAGTTTTCCCACCAAGAATACTGGAGTGAGTTGTCACTCTTCCTCCAGAGGATCTTCCCAACCCAGGGATCAAACCTGTGTCTCCTGCATTACGAGCAGATTCCTTACCACTGAGCCGTCAGGGAAGCCTGAATTAGCTATATGCATACATATGCCCCCTCCTTCTTGAGCCTCCCCCACCGTCTCACCCTCAAGGTCATCACAGAGTCCAGAGCACACTTACTCTTAATCACATTCTGGAAACTACCCCCGGAGTACTTCACTGAACCATGCCAAGGAATAATTCCCAGAAAATTTTTACAAAAGGCACGTCTTCCTCTTGAGTGAATTAGAACCATGAGGGACAGAATATTTACCCAACAGAGTGACACGGAAGGGGTGTACACCTCCCCCAGAAAGTTCCTGCTACGTCCTAGACTTCTGGTAGCAGAGCAGAGACTGACATCCTACTGGGTGGTTTGCTAGAGTTCATGCAAATGAAGCAAGAACAGTGACTGTTGCCAGGCTAATCAACAAAGTGAGATGCCAGTAATTAGGTTTCAACTGACTCACATCCCAGTGTAAGCATTAATTGGGGGAAAATATGCAGATTGCTGGTTAATAATAGAACAGTTTTTGTTCCACAGTCATTTTCTTCCTGTTCATCAATTTGTTTGATTGCTTGTATAGCAAACACTGGATCTTCTCTGTATATGTTTAGCTACTTGAGATTTTTTTTTAAAAAAACAGCCTTTTATTAATTAAAGATGTCTTTAATGCACAGTGGTAGCTCTTGATTGCCAATGGAAGATTATTTTGAAAACTGGGAGCTTTAGTGGTGACACGGTGCTTTCAGAGAATGTTCGTGTAGCCGGGAGTAGAATAAAGTGCCTTCCATCTGTGTGAGGGGGTGGGAGAGACGAGACTCAGATTCTTAAATGTATATGTGTTAAAGGTTCAGAGCACAATGCACCCTACTATTTACCCACTTTTGGACAAAATTATCTGCTTAGTCAAATTACAGATGATTCTGTCCACCCCCAAATCCCACCAACCTCTCTTCTTTCTATATTTATGGTTCTGATTCATTTATCATAGTAGAGCTTTCTCTTCTAACTTTATGGCACTTTCTCTTCCCAAGAAAGTTCAAACAGTCCTTTCTTCTTTTCTGGAATTATGACTTGGTCTATGACTCCTAGCTGCATTGGGGTCTATTTTTGTGCCTGGATCTGTTCTAAGGAGGGCTTCCCAAGTGGCACTAGTGGTAAAGAATCCACCTGCCAATGCAGGAGACATAAGAGATGTGGGTTCCATCCCTGGGTCAGGAAGATTCCCTGGAGGAGGACAAAGTAACACACTCCAGTATTCTTACCTGGAGAATCCCATGGACAGAGGAATCTGGCAGGCTACAGTCCCTAGCATCGCAAACAGCCAGACGTGACTGAAGCAGCTTAGCACACGCACATCCTGTTCTAAGGAATTATTTACATACTGTAGGTACATGGCAAGTTTGTGAATGGTACAAAAAAAATGTAGGAATGCAAATTATTATAGGTTCATAGACTAAACCAGGGATCTTCCTGGTCAACTGCCTTATAGGTGATGTGGAGGAAAGAACTGTAATATGTAGAGTAGAAAATGAAATGATGAAGTGAAAGAGAAGAGATTCTCAAATTTAAGTGTGAATCAAAATCATGTGGAGCCTCTGCTAGACTCCAGGTACTGGGCCCTTAGAGATTCAGCCTCAGGAGGTGAGGGGCAGGCCAGGAACTTGCTTTCCTACACATTTTACGGGATTCTGAGGCTACAGGTTGATTCTTTGAGCAGAATAAATTAGAAAGCCCATGCTTCACCAAAGCCTTCGATGTACAAAGCCAAACATTTTAAACAAAGCACTATTGTGAAACGCACACAACATCTGCAGGGGTTATTAGATCCTTTAGCTTCCTATTTACAAATACTGATACAAGCAAAATTAGGCAGGGAAATTAAGAAACACCAGGCAGCGAGCCTAAAGCAAACCAATGCGGCTTTGGAGCTGCTTTCTTTTATCATTTCCGTGGTTCCTCAGGGAGCCGCAGTGAGAGCTTCGAGAGTTGGTGCTAGCAGGTCTATATCACAAAGAAGATAAGGACTATAGCAAGGAATATTAGGAAACTCTCTATATCCTCTAATATTTTTTCAAAGATGACATCAGGTCAAGTCAACCGTTTATCATAAACACCAAGGGGACAATGAAAAGTTGCCAGACTAAAATCTCAGGGGCTTAAAAAAAAGAGAATAAAAGGAGTTCATTTTTGCCTGGAAATAAGCAGATAAAAGACTAATTTTAAGAGACACCCTTTGTTGGGAAATAAATTTTGATTTTGTAAAGCCATGGTTGCCATATTGAAAATGTGTTATAGATCAGTTATTTTAGTAGGAATATTATTTAATCCTCATGATAGTCAAATAATATAATAATGACTGTCATTGTCACTTACAGAGGAGAAAACTGAGGCTTAAGGAAGTAAAGGAATTTACATAAAGAAGATAACCTGTGAGATAGCTAGAATTAAAATCTTGTTCTCTTTCCTACCATCTCAACTGTTTATACACTGTGGTACAGTCGTCCCTTCCCTTACAAGTTCATGATGATTTTGAGATTCCATGGCACATCTCTTTCCCTTGACTCATTTTCCATCTTCTAGCAACATAACAACTCCCCACAAAAATAGGCTAGGAATAATGCATTTATTATTAATAACTGTATCCTAGGGGAAATCTGCAAGGAGATCAAACCAGTCAACCCTAAAGGAAATCAATCCTAAATATTCATTAGAATGTTTGTTGCTGGAGCTGAATCTCCAATACTTTGGTCACCTGATACAAAGAGCCACCTCATTGGAAAAGACCCTAATGCTGAAAGATTGAAGACAGGAGGAGAAGGGGAGAGCAGAGGATGAGACGGTTGGATGGCATCACTGATGCAATGGACATGAGTTTGAGCCAGCTCTGGAGATAGTAGAGGACAGGCCTGCTGCAGTCCATGGGGTCACAAAGAGTTGGCACGATTGAGCGACTGAACAACAAGGGTAAATCTGCATGCTAGCTAATGTTTCCCAGTAGAAGGAAATTGCCCTCGGAGTGAAGATGATGATGCTATAAGAAAGACTAGTATATGTTTTGAGTTCCTGATATTTATGAAAACTGATAGGAGCTGTATAGCTTTGAGATACAATTCTTATTCATGTTTCATGAATATTGGTTTCATTGAAAATCTTTATTTTTATACTTAGGGCAGCATTGTATCTGTCAGGATGTGATTGATCACAAGAAATGTTAAAATTGACCCAGGTGGCTCAAAACAAGAACTCAAGAGGTGGAAAACATGATGTCTGGAGGTGGATAGTCTAGACAGTGGCTCAGTGATACCATCCAGGACCAGGCTTTTTCTAACTCACAGTGGTTCTCCAGCCCATCACCATCACTATTATCCTCTCTACGGGTAGTTGCAAGGTGGCTGCTATAGTATCTCTTTGCAGCAGCATGCCAAGAAGGAAGGAAGGAAGAGCTGGGTTGGGAGAAAGGGGCTGTCTTTTTATCTGGAGATAGAATCTTTCCTGGGTGCCTTTTTATTTTGATAGAGTAGAGAAGTGTTAAGAGGTAGAGAGTAATCAGAATTGATTCTAATAAACTGAGATCCACTTCCTAGGTTTGGGTACATAGTTGATTTGGAAAGAGTCTGAGTTAGGTTACAAGAATGAAGGAGGGCGTGGCTGTGGTAGAAGCACCACTGTGCCTGCCAGCATCACTGTTCCCCCCAAAAACAAGCCTTCTCCCATCTAAAGTCCTTGGTCGGGGAATTTTAGAGACTATATTCAGTAGGACAGCACTTGCCTTCTAGGGGACCACAATTTAATCCAGATGGCCCTGCAGAGATCAAACACAGGTGATGATGAAGATGAGCAGAAATCACAATTCTGGTAAAGTTTTATTAAAAACTGCATATAATGTAGAGAGAACACTCTTTATTCATTCTTCCCATATTACATCTTGCAGTACGTGCTTATATGTGAGAAGGCTTTGATTTGTCCAATAAAGATCAGACAGCAGAAACAGAATGTGGGCAAATCACACATTTGTATTTGTTTTCATTTT